GAGGAAATGTTTAAAAAAAGGAGGAAATGAAAAAAAAGGAGGAAATGAAAAAAAAGGAGGAAATGAAAAAAAGGAGGAAATGAAAAAAACGGAGGAAATGAAAAAAAAGGAGGAAATGAAAAAAAACGAGGAAATGAAAAAAAAGGAGGAAATTTTAAAAAAAGGAGGAAATTTTAAAAAAAGGAGGAAATTTTTAAAAAAAGGAGGAAATTTTAAAAAAAGGAGGAAATTTTTTAAAAATGGAGGATATTTTAAAAAAGGAGGAAATAAAAAAAAGGAGGAAATGAAAAAAAAGGAGGAAACGAAAAAAAAGGAGGAAATGAAACAAAAGGAGGAAATGAAAAAAAAAAGGAGGAAATGGGAAAAAAAAAGGAGGAAATGAAAAAAAGGAGGAAATAAAAAAATGGAGGAAATGAAAAAAAAAGGAGGAAATGAAAAAAAAGGAGGAAATGAAAAAAAAAGGAGGAAGTGAAAAAAAAAGGAGGAAGTGAAAGAAAAGGAGGAAATGAAAAAAAAAGGAGGAAATGAAAAAAAAGGAGGAAATTAAAAAAAAGAGGAATTAAAAAAAAAAAGGAGGAAATAAAAAAAAAGGAGGAAATGAAAAAAAAAGGAGGAAATTAAAAAAAAAAGGAGGAAATAAAAAAAAAAGGAGGAAATGAAAAAAAAAAGGAGGAAATAAAAAAAAAGGAGGAAATGAAAAAAAAGAGGAGGAAATAAAAAAAAAGGAGGAAATGAAAAAAAAAGGAGGAAATGAAAAAAAGGAAGGGGAAAAAAAGGAAGGGGAAAAAAAGGAAGGGGAAAAAAAGGAAGGGGAAAAAAAGGAAGGGGAAAAAAAGGAAGGGGAAAAAAGAAGGAAAAACAATGAAGGAAAAACAAAGGAGGGAAAAAAAGGAGGGAAAAAACCAAGATATTAATTTGCAGAGACCTTCTTGGACTTAAAGCAGCAATTCTGGGCATCCTCTCCCACCTGGCCAATGTTATAACATGAAAAGTGATGGATCTGAAATACTATGGAATGCAAAGTGCTTGATCATTACATCTTCTAGGCTAAATATTGGCTCAAATTCGAAATTGAGGCAGTATGTCTGCTACTGCTGAGTTTTTACACTGCATTTTTCAGAGGAAAACTTTGTATTTTGTAGAAAACAAACACCTGCCACTCCACTATGAACTTACTCAGCTCCTTTCATCCTACAGGAATGTCAGAATATCTGCAATCATGTACCCAATGAAAGCCTCTAAACAAGGAGGTATTTCCATCCAGTAATGTGAGAGCAATGCTTTTTGCATTCTGTCATCTCCAAAAAATACAGGCAGCCCATTATAATATCTACAAAATCTTTTTACTGATAAATATTCTGCATTAATTTGAGTCATTTTGATGAACATGACAGCAAACACAAGTACCAATATCCCCCAGCACAAAATCGGGTGTTGAAACTCAGAAAAGCTGATTTATATAAGTGCAAGATAGAGAAAACCACCCTCAAATGTAGCCACTTATTGACCAATGAGGGGGAAAAAAATCCATTTCCACTACAAGGTTATACTTCTGCTTTGGCATCAGCTATACTAGTAATGGGCTGAAGATGGAGAATTTCTTTACAATATTTCTTCAATTAAGAGAAAGAAATCTCTGGGAGATCTGTCCAGCAGGATTACTGGACTCA